TCGTGCACAGTCAGTACCAGCAGCTTTCAGGTGTTCAGCTCGCTCCGATGGGGAGCCACGATGGCTATCCCGTCGAATAACTTGGTCGCGCTGAATGACTCGGCCGGCCGGACTGTCGTTGCCAATTGTGTTCCCCTCGTTTCAGATGTCGTCGCCACCCCGCCAATCGACAAGCAGAGGGACGCCCCGTCTGGTACGCATTCAATCAACACACCACGACCCGTCATGCTGACGAAGGCCCAATCGGTCCAAAGCCTGGACACCAGTCCCTGACCGGGCTGAGCATTGAACATGCGTAGCCATTTCGGCACTGGCGACAAAGAGAAAGAGACACAATAACGGACATCGGATTCACCCCCTCACCCTGGTACCCGAAACCATCAACGACAACCCCTGGTCTAGGAGAAGACGCGGTCGGACCAATTCTTGCTCCTTTGGGACTCCTTGTCCCAGTCGCAACAGGCAATTTCCCATCTCGTCCTGTTTGTCTAGCAGACAGCCATCATCGATATTAATCACGACATGCGCACGCCCTCGAGCTCGCTCTACTGGGGCAACCGAGGGCCCGAATGAACACGCACGTCGTCACTAGAGGAACCACTATCGATCGTAGTAATCTAACGAGTAAAGAAGAAGACGGCCGTTTGCAGGCTGGCGTCCATACTAGCCCTGGCGCGAACACGGCTGCAGATCAAACCTCTTCTCAATGCTCCGAACAAACCATGCTGGCTAGCTTCCGCATAAAGAGGGAACCCCCTGTTTTCGCGAATCGCCCTCTCTAGCAAGGTCGCGTTCGTGTACTTGACTCGCCATTGCCGTCGCCCGATGGCCAGTCGCAAGTTGTCAGACGGCCGTCAGGCCCTGATGATGGACACTTGTTATTTTTTTTCTGGTTTTCAACGCGGGGGGGCGATCTTTGACAAAGGGATTGACAACCCCTGAAGCTTCATCTTCTATCTTCTGACCAGCACCGGCCACTCGGTTGCTGTGCACAAGCAGTGGCTGTTTCGGGTTCGGCGGACCTCTTTGGGCGATTGGAGTCTCTCCAGGGATCATCTGTACAGCACTTCTGCGTCGTTTCCATCATTGTGGGAACTCGTCACGAACGAGTCCCGCGGATCTACGTCATGGCGGTCGCAAGCGTTCCACCTTGGTCCATTCTGCTACCTGTTGCTTGAAGGGTGCATGACAACGAAGTTTATCCAGAAGCCGTTGTTTGACTTGTATGAACACTGACCGCCGCCTCAGCTGCTAGCTTGGTTCTCTATTCCCCGATGACCATGGTGCAACCCTGCGTGCCGACCCAGACCTCATGCTGTCGCCCTGCCGCCACGTCTACACGCTCGCCCACGCCGTGGGTTTCCTTGACCGGGCTCTCATCCTCGGGATAGGTTATGGTGAGGCTGCCTTTCGTGATGAGGTGCGTCGTCAAAGCCCGGTGGCTGTGCGGGGGATAGTGGGTGCCCCTCCTTCGGTGTCAGCGAAAGACTGCCTTGCTGCTGCTGCTGCTGCTGCTGTTGCTGCTGCGCCGGCGTCACGACAAGGAGCGACTTACGGGGTGTCTGTCCAGGTGAAGACCTGCTTGAAACCCCACGACTTGACCTCTGCCTCGGGGCTCACATTTTTCGTTGTGCGTGCCATGGCGGTTGATGACATGAGTCTCGGGATGCGGGACCAGATCTGTGGATGAGATGATTACGACGGGTGCTTGCGCCACCAGTGCAGTCAGTACACGATTTGACTTTCGCGTGTCTCCGAGGTGGCTTTTTTGCACTGAACGATCGAACAGTGTGTAAGAGGTTGGTGGACTTGTGTCGACGCGACGGGATTCGTCATGTGATGGTCAAGAACACAACACATAAAGCTTGAGACTGCAGGCAAACTCATAACCGGCCGACATGCTCCAGTA